ATTGGTGAGTGGTGCCTGCCTGGGGGCGGAGTATCTGGTATTCCTGCACTGGGGAAGGGGTTTCCTTCTTTTCATGTGAAAGAATCCATGTAAATGTCAATGACAGCTTTTATTTTCTTATTGCTAAAGCAATCCCTGCTCATTGTAGAAAGTTAGAAAATACAGATAACTACAAATAAGGCAGCAGAAATCATTACCGTTCTATGCTGATGACAACAACACTAACAGATACTACCTCCCTTTCCCCATCCACATATAATTTTCTAAAAAAGAGGTTGTACTTGTTTAGTTCTGCAGCCTGATGTTTTAGCCTCGATCGTATCTCATGAAAATCTTTCTAGGTCATTTAAAATATCTTCCTTCTTTTCCATTATACCAGTTTTATGTAGTTCAACCATTCTTCTTGTATATTATGATGGTCTCTAATTATTATTATCTCGATAACCTCAGTTCCATGAAATTTGTGTAGCTACCTCTTTTGGCACCTACATGATTATCATACCAGGATAAATTTTCATGAGTGGTATTGCTGGATCAAAGTGAGCACAAATTACTTTTGATGTGTATTAATGAACAGCTCTCCTGAAATGCTATAAAAATTTGTTCTCCAACAACTTTTTAAAAGTTGAAAGTATATTTTTAAATGTGCCCAAAGATTGAGTAAGAGTACTAAGATTTAAGATATTATTGGGGAAATCTGTAAAAATAAAATCACTATTATGTTGTACACCTGAAACTAATATAATGTCACATGTCAATTATATCTCAATAAAATATGTATCAATATAAAAAAGATTTAAGAGACTGATAGGGAATACTGTTGTATAGATTAGCAATTAGCTCTCTAAAAGCTGGTTTCTGCACATATGATTACAATGAGTTACAGATAAAAAAAATGATTACAATGAGTCATTTTAATGTAATGTTTGGAACTATGTGGGTAACAAAAAACATTTTTTAAACACAAAAGTATAATGGAAAAGTTACCCACCTATCACAAATATTTTGACTCATTAGGTGTGTCAGGATTTGACACTGAACTTTACTCTGAGATGTCTTAGAGAAAATAAGAAACAGTTCCTACAAATAGGAAAGGCAGAGTTCTACATTGGGATCCCTGCTTTCAAGATGCCTTGATAAACAAATTAAAACCAATAGATCAGAATCAATTAAAAATGAATAGATCAGAATAGAGAGCCCAGAAATAAACCCACACACCCACAGTCAATTAGTCTTCAACAAAGGAGGCAAGAATATACAATAGAGAAAAGAGTCTCTGACAAGTAGTGTTAGAAAAGCCGGACAGCCACAGGCAAATTAATGAAGTTAGAACACTTCCTCACACAGTACACAAAAACAAACTCAAAATGGCTTAAAGACAAACATAAGACAAGACAACATAAACCTCCTAGAAGAGGTTTAGAAGAGAACACAGGCGAAACATTCTCCGATATAAATTGTAGCAGTGTTCTCCTAGGGCAACCTAGGCACTAGAAATAAAAGCAAAAATAAACAAACGGGACCTAATTAAACTTATAAGCTTTTGTACATCAAAGGAAACCATAAATGAAGTGAAAAGAGAACCTACTGACTGGGAGAAAATATTTGCAAATAATGAGACTGACAAGGGCTTAATTTTCAGAATACACCAATAGCTCATAAAACTCAAAAACAACAACAAAAAACAAACAACCCAATCAAAAAATGAGCTGAAGACCTAAACAAACGTTTCTCCAATGAAGACATACAATGGCCAATAGGCACTTGAAAGAACGCTCAATATTGTTAGCTATCAGAGAAATGCAAATCAAAACTACAACGAGGTATTACCTGACATCAGTCAGAATGGCCATCTTTAAAAAGTCCACAAATGATAAATGCTGGAGACGATGTGGAGAAAAGGGAAACTTTCTACACTGTTGGTAGGAATGTAGTTTGGCGCAGCTGTTACGGAAAATAGCATGGAGATTTCTTAAAAAATTGAAAACAGATTTATCCTATGATCCAGAAATCCCACTCTTGGGCATATATCCAGAGGAAACTTTAATTCAAAAAGATACATCCACTCCAATGTTCATAGAAGCTCTATTTACAATAGTCAAGACATGGTGGCAACCTAAATGTCCATCAACAGATGACTGGATAAATAAGTATCTGTGGTATATTTACACAATGTAAAACTACTCATCCATATAAAAAGAATAAAATAATGCCATTTGCAGCAATGTGGATGGACTTGGAGATCATCATACTAAATGAATTAAGCCAGAAAGAGAAAGAAAACAAATATGATATCACTTATATGTGGAATCTTAAAAAAAGAACACAAATGAACTTTTTTACAAAATAGAGACAGACTCATAGACATAGAGAACAAACTTATGGTTGGTTACTAGTGGGGAAACAGGGTGGGGAGGGATGAACTGGGAGTTCAGGATTTGTAGATACTAACTACTATATATAAAAATAGATAAATAACAAGGTCCTATTGTATAACACAGAGAATTATGTAACTATATTCAATACCTTGTAATGGCCTATAATGAAAAAGGATATGAAAAGGAATATATATACATATATATATGAATCACTATGTTGTATACCAGAAATTAACACAATGTTGTAAATCAACTATACTTCAATAAAAAATATTTCATTATTTAAAAAAAACTAAACCACACCAAATGTATTAAAATTATGGAACCAGTTCTGCAGCCTAAATGCAACATTTGATCTCTGAAGATTATATTTGTGGATTATAAATCTCCTTAAAATAACTGAGGTTGAAGTGTGAATATCTAATATATTTATCCTCCCAGAACAATTCAACAAAATTCATCGGGAAACCAAATTATGCCAAACACAGTGGATGCAAAGATTATTAAGAGACAGTCTCACCCATTCAAGCATATCACAAAGCTATTGGGAGAACATCCAAATAAATATTTGGGGGATTAGAGTAACAAATGCCAGTAAGAAAGTGCAAGACACATGGACAAGTGGAAGCAACGCACTCTGCCTGTGGACCATTACTGAAGGCTTTATAAAGGAAGAATATTTTAAGACAGACTAACTGGGAAGACTGGGTTGGCAGGTGATTTTTGGTCAGAGTTTCTACCTGCTCTTTGTAAGGATTTCACATGTTTCTGTTCTAACCAGTCTGCTGCTAAAATAAAGTATCTGAAATCACAATGATCAGCTGCATCCACTAACCATCCTGCCTTTCTCAGTTCCTGTGTTTCCTGGGGTTGACACAATAATTAACATGGAGAATCAAAACTCTTCAATGCACATTAGTATCTCTCTTGGTTTGAAATTCTCCGGAGAAACGCTATCTACCTCTTTAATGTCAGCCTGTGGGGGACGAAAAGAAAACAGTACCAACAAATATTTTGAATTTTCTTTTCTCATTGCTCTCTCACACATACACAATAGCTTTTAGAATGATATGCTTAAATAATCAAAATACTAATCATTGACTCGTCCATTCACAAACTACTCATTGGGTACCCACTCTGTACTAAGTGCTGTGTGGGATTTTTTTTTTTTTAAACAAGCCCATCTCTGCAAGACAATTAAGCACATAGGAAAAAAAAAATCTATGAGAGCACACATGTGTTACAACATCATCTTCCGGAATCAGACTCTTCATGTTTTGGGAAAAAAAGAGATTTGTTTGCCAAAATACTGTAGCATGGGAAGAAAAAAATAAATCTCTTTGTGCTTTTGACCACAACAGCTGCTTTGAAAAAAAAAGTCATCTTAAAAATAGTTAAGCATGGAATGGTAATTACTCAACTTGTCATCTGATTGCTAGATTAAAAACTCCAGATTTGTAATTGCAGTTATCATGCAAACAAATTCACAGTTCTGAAAATATATGTCCTACTGGCCATGTTTTTTAAGGACAGTCATTTTGCCCAGGGATTTTGATGTATGCTAAGTATTTGAATCATCCTAAAGGTTGAATTTATAGCTATTACTAGTGAAAATACATAAGGCAGGCCTGATTTGTGAAAAATTCACTGTTTGACTAAATAATATTCTTTAAAAGATAATTTCTATTGTTAAAACATGATATACGTGGCAGAAGTCACGCTTTTAAAAAGACTTTGAAAAATCCAATTAGCATAATTTAAAATATTCCATTAACCACATTTCTGTTATTTAACAGACTAAACCTCTATATTCTATTACATAATCATTCAAAAGACATGAGAGAATGTCTTCCAGGGGCCCTCAGTGTTAAGAATCAGTTCTGAGTTGAGAGGATCTGTAACAAAGTGCAGAGGGAAATGCGGGGGCAGCCTTAAGCTGCATTAAAGAAAAGTGCTCTCACTGGAGTGCAGAGATGAGCTCCTTGAATCTAAGAAGGCAGGGGAGTCGCATATAGCTCTATGCACTATCCATATGACCCAGAGGAGAGTAACTCATGAATAAAAGTAGGGGAGCTGAGGACGCTTGCATGGACACTCAGCAGCTGCTTACTGGAGACAGGTTTGCACTGTGGTTAGTGCTGACGTGCGTTGTTCTGAGTCTTGGAATTATTTTAAATGCACTCTCGAAATGTCTGGAGTTCAAGAGGGCTGCAAGCACAAGAAGGCTGAGCACCACTGAGCTAATCTTTCAAGGGTGCCACTGCAGTGTTCACGTTGGGTGAGTTTCATCAGTGTAGCCTGTAGACCTTGGAGGAGTACCCTAACCTTGCTGGGCATCTTTAGTTGTCAGATGGGGATCTTGCATCTCCTTTCTCAGAGCTTTTAAGAATTGAAGTGCCCCTTTTGAAGGGCTGGATATAGAGCAGATCCTCTATGACTTTCCTAATTTGGAAATCATTACCTTGAATTCTGGTCAATCATTAGAAAAGCAGATTTGCTACTACTTTAATTGCCCAGGTAATCTCAATAGGGAATCAAAGTGAAGCAAGAATTTCAGCAGTGTATGGCTACATTTGAAATTATGGAATGGTTACCACCACCTGTGTGACACAATTAGCTCTCACGCTCTTCCAACTTTTATTCCCCGCCCCCCAATTCTGCTCTTACCTGAGAAAATTGGGCCTGTGAATATTATTTTATATTAAACATACATGCATAGTCACAGTGACTCAGTCTTATAACTGAATACTACTTTAAATGAATCAATAAATATTAACAGTATAAAATGGAATAATAAGAGTTCAAACCACAGATGTAGGACAATTGGGTAATTTAGATGTATTCATTTTAATATTTAAATTTCATGCCTCTCTGGGAAAATGCTCCTCTTTGTCTCCAGACACTCCTTTGGATAAAACAATTGTACAAACAGCAACAGTAGCTGTGAACTTTGTGTGGAGTAAGGCACATTCTGAAAACACAACTTCTTGTCTCTTTGATACTATTGTGCAGTTAAATTTTTTTTCCCAGAGATCAGACAGTCCAAATGGTCTGAAGTCAACACCACAGTATCAAATAGGCCTCTCATAATTGAATAAGCATGTGAGATTAAAGAGTGGATTTATTTTATTAGAAAATTAAAGCTACTCTGCCAAATTTTAAGTGCTCTTTCATTTCTCCTGATAACCTTCTGGATTCTGATGAATTACATCACTCACAAATTAGAAAGTTTTATTCATTGTTTTCAATTCTACTTTTAAAAAATAGAAAACAGGTGAAAAAATGCCGAGAGACGGCATAAAGCAAAGTAG